ATATAGTATAATCATATTTAACTACTTAAACCATTATTGGTTAATGTTATACTAATAAACGTTTTAAAATTATAGGTACATTCATCTAATGTACAAAATTATAGTGTCATCCTCTCAACCTACTTTTCTATTAAATAGGAATTCAATATTTATTATTCATTAAATAGTATGTGAGTGAACAAACTATTAATCATTCTGAATTTTTAATATATTTTATCATTATTGAATTTACATTTGTATGTGTTACTTGTAATTTCAAAAGGCAGCATCTAAGAGAAAACGTACATAAAAAAATATAAAACAGACATTCTAAAAGAGAATGTCTTATTTGTATGATTTATATATATACATAATTTTGAAAAATATTTTATAGATAATAATCATTTAATTCTTTACTATAGGATATTTTATAAAATTTACAATGATAATTATGTCAAATATATTGTCTTCATAAGGAAAACATTATGGTACACATATCACCATATATTATATTCCATATCCTGGCATGCGTAGTACATTTATTAATGAAATCTCATATATGTCTAACAGATAGATATTTCAAATGACAAAACTTAATAGTATAAGCATTTTAATTTTATATTAAAATATAATTTGATGAATAAATTTTATGTTTATAAATTGTAGAATAATAAGGATAATTCTATATAATTTAGGACTTTGACATTACATATGTTTAAAGAAAATAGTTAATCATAATCATCGTAATAATTATAAATTTTATCTTTTCTGTGTATAAATTATTAGAGAAATATATTCTAATTTTCTCAAGAATGGGCTGATTATTCCTGGTTTAATTCGTCTCATTAAATATATGTAATATCCTAATACTTTTATTGATAAAACATTAAATATGTCACAAATTTGTTAATACACTCTCTAAATAATGTGTAAAATTAATTCGTTATAGTTCAGTGTAAAGATTTTTTATAATTCAAAATATTATATTTATTTTTTATGTATAATGTTTTTATTTGTATAAAAAATTTTGACAAAATTTAACGTTTTTAAAAATTTGCACCCTTTAGTATCACTGTGTGTAAAAAAAAACTAATAAGCTAACTAGTAAAAAAAGCACTATAATAACACAGATAAATATATTAAAATAAAAAAATGTATAATTAAGAATAATATTTTCATAAATGAAGTGATAGTTTATTATTATGTTTTATTTATTTTGTTTTTTGGTACATTTAATATAATTACAAGCGTAAACGAATATTTTATATAATATGTATATTTTAGATTAACTGAAAACGTATTCAATATTTTTATGATTATCATTATATACCTTAGTATGTCCCTTCTCATGTTTTCTCTTAACAATATAACAACTATGAAGAAATATGTAATACATATTTGTTTTTATCACATAGAATGCACAACGAAAATTTTATAAACTCTTAAATTTTTCACCTATACATGAAACAAATGATATAAACTTGCTATTTAAAAAAATACTTATTCATTTTTTTTTTTTTTATTAATGATTTTTTTATAGTTTAGCCGTAATACTGTTGTTAAAGGTTGTAACTGTATTATTAAATATATATACACCTACGTTAAATTTAATTTTTACTTTCATTTTGTTGCAAAATAATCTCTGTAATAAATATATTATTGATTTTTTTAATTCCATTGTACTATAAAAAATTACCTTTTAAATAACCAATACCACTTTTTCATATTTATATATACTAAAACAGTATAATATTATTTCATGTTTTAATGGTGGACGCATGATTTAATAAACAAATAATGTTTACCTAATCTTTTTTATTAATAAATTTATATATACTGAAATAATAAAACAGTTAGTAACATTGATTATAAAATTTAACGTATTTTATAAGAATGAATATACCTTATTCTTATCTGTCTACTTAATTTGTTTGTAGAAAATAATGTTTTTCATTATACATATTGTTATAAATGTTTCGATTATTCATAACCAATATGTAACACATTTATTTTAAGCTCCTAATAAAACTCACAGACTGGTATAATAAAAAAATAAGACAACATCTTATTAATGTATTGTATTCATAATGATGAAACCTTTCATTTTTATTAACTCTTTTTATAATCATATTTATATGCATCCTTCTAAATAAATTATTTACATTTTATTATTTTTCCCATATAACTCAGTAATGTTATGTGTTCATAAATATGAAAAAAAGTAACCCATAATTAGGATAGTATTTTTAATGAAATACTAACACATCCAAGTCAGTATCTTAATATTATGCTCTTAAGAATTTTACATTACGTAAAGTCGAAAGAAAGGCGCATAAAATATTAATCATTTAAACAAATATAGAAGAAATTTAATGAGTAAGAGAACGAATCAAATAAAAATGAAGAAAACAATTAAATGAAAAAATTACAAACAAATAAAATGATTGCATGGGGAAATTCATGAATACCAAAATATTCAGATAAATAATGTTAGCGCTCATATTTTATAACAAAAACATATATATCTTAAACATATGTGTATGCTTACATTTTATAATAACGTATATAATACATTATACACGAATCCTACTTTATAATCTTAAAAATAATAAATTTACCCTTGCATATAATTTTTACTCATAGATTTAGTATTTTACAATTTCTAAGAATTGTGTAGCGTTACAAGACATGATGAAATTTATGCTGTGTTCTTAAAATTATAAGATAATATAACGTAGTAATATAGGCCGTAAATTTAAAGTACAGCTGAATTATAATTTAGAATGAATATGCTTTGTAAAAATTTAAAAGCCATGTAAAAAAATAATTTTTTAGTACGTGTATTAATTCTTCTTAGAACACGTTAACACTTGTTTTAATAAGTGAACTGAAATTTATATAACTAGTAAAAGTGACAGTAATATAAATGTGTACACGACTGTTATATAATAGGAACGTAAAAAACTCAAAAAATAAAATGAACTATTTAAAAAAATTCCCGTCTATTACATATAACTTAAATATGTTAAGCTTAAACTTCTAAATTAACAATTTAATCAAACGGATAGAGGTTCTTGAAAATTATATTTTCATAAATATTTTACGATGTGTGTTAAAAAAAAATTAATGAAATATTCGCTAAAAAAAATAAAATGTACCTTTAAATGATAATCATTTTATTTACGAATACTCACTTATTATGTATAATATGCAATGTACTTTAAAACTATTATGATACAAATTAATCTGTTTATATTAATTAATTTATAACTTTTACTCATAAGTTCAATGTAATTTTACATATCATAATTTTATATAATATAGAGCTAGTATATGTTAGTAAACTATTCATAACACCCATATGAATCAAAATTATTTTTTTCACATTTATACATTCATCGATTCACAACACATTCATAAAATAATCAACAAAATGTTTTAATACTCACTTAATGTGTGTATTTATATTTTTCTTTTAGAAAAATATTACAAACATTATTCTAAACATAATCACGCATAATTTCCATAATAGGAAACGTGGTACTTAACAAATATATATGAAAATTTTTCATAAAATAAAGGAGCATTTTATTTTAATTCAATAATTTTCCCATTAGATATCATAATGATATTTTCTTTATTATCTCTAGATAAATTTAACTATTTACTATAAATTAAAACGCACTAATAATAGGCATGACAAAAATTTAAAATAAAGAATTCAATTATATAGCCCTCATAAAGACTGTTAAAAATTTTTGCAGCAAAAAAAAATAAAATAAAATTCTTTCAAAGCATATAAAAATTACAGAAAATTTTAATTAACGGGAATAATTTTTTTTTTTTTCGAGTGATGCGGGTTAATGTAAAAATGTAGCATAATTTATCACATCATTCTCCAAATTATATCGCAAAAGAAAGTTTTTCCTATAAGAAAATCCAATTTAATAAAATTACATTGGGGGCAATAAAAAATATTTTAACATGATGATATTTAAATAGAGGCTTAATTATAAACAATATCATAAAATAATATTAAAAATATGTATTTTTTTTCACTTGTTTCTGTAAAAAAAAAATTAAGTATATTAACAATAATTAAATTTCAATGTAAAAATAACAAAAAAAATAAATATGTTTTACGTTAGTGGAATTTCTTTAAGACTTAAAAAAATGGATGCAACATGTGTCCATATTATTATTAAGTATGGTATTTGCTATATTCCCTATATAATTAATCTTAATGTAATTTACTGCTTTATAATAAAATTTTTATAATACAGAATAATATTATAATAATATATAAAAAAAAATATTAATATATAATATATTTGATTTCTTTGCTTCTCCTTTAAATTTATTAAGGACCTAAATTATTTTTTTGCCTTATGTATTATCTAACTGCCAAAAAAAAAATAAATCTATAACAAAATTTGATCTATACAATGGTTCTAAATTTTTTATAATGATCTAATAATTTATAGTAAATTCTGCAAAACATGTATTAAAAATATATATAATTTTTTTTTTTTTTCGAATATTTTACTATGCTTTTCTGTAGAATTTTGTAATTTCATATACCTTTTTTTTATTCAAAATAGAAAGAGAATTTTTAACGATTACCTAAATAGCAGTTTTATCTTTCAAATAATTTTTTTACAGCAAATATTTTGTATCTTTTATTTTTATTTAAGAGTACGCATTAGACAACCTAATCTTTGTTATAATTTTTGAATTGCTCATATATATTAAATATTTTTGGTCAACATACCTTAAATTATTTATATAATAATTTTAATGTTTTATAGTTAAATAGTAAATGTAATTTAAATAATTTTAGATAGTAGTTTAATTGTAAAATAATATTTATTTTTAAAAAATCATTTAATTAATATTTTCTATATAAAATACTAATTTAAAAGAGTCGTTTATAATTGGCTTATAAACCAATTTCTCCCCTATTAGTAATAATTGCAATTCTTTATTTATATATTATCTGTAGTATCATCAAAAGTCACAATATGGTTTATTTTAACAAAAGTAAAACACGTAGCAGTGGACAATTTTATTTTATGCCAAATCAGCAATATGTATGAGTAAATGTAATGTTCATGTTTCTTAAATTATACATATTTTAAAGAATTTTATTATATCAATTAAATAAGTGAAGAAAGATTAAATGTGTTTAATATTATGTTAGTATTTACGACGACATTAAAAGTATAATATGAAGAAAAATATAGAAGGATTTAATGAATCCTTGGGAAAAGGAAAAAAGACGATACAAAAATCAGTTTATTTTAAGAGGGATAAATTATATATACAAGCTAGTTCTAATTGTTTAGAAACCAAGAAAAAAATAAATAAACCTAATAAGTGTTTTCTACACATATTTTTATCTAATTTGTTTGATGTACTCATAAATTCATCCTATAATGAGGCTTTAAAAATATGTGTTATATTAATAGGAATATCTCAAACTTTTTTATTACAAGTCGCTGTTGCAAACGGAACTGAGGCATCATCTGACAATATAGGGGGAAATGGTGGAGCAATTGGTGTAACATCGGGTAGGGAAGCGAGTGTAGCAGAGAATGTAACAACTGTTGGTCAAGCGAGAAATGGCGTTGCAGAAAGTGTTGAAAATAAAGCATATTTTGATAGGGCAGTCGCGGCAGTATCTAGTGCTTGGACTAATGCTAATCAAAAACTAGGGCCTATATGCAAGCTTATATTAGGAGAGGAAAAGGGTTGTAAAGACAAAAATTTATCCATTCCATTATTGCTTGTTACTATTATGATCGTGTCAGCATTAATTCATTATGTTTATACTCAGGTATGTAACAATTCAATTAAAATAAATTTATATAAAGTAAATAATGCATTATGTAAATTAATTTTTAGTGAAATTTATAGCTATTAATTAAACATATTATATGTATTATGCTTTTCAATTTTATATTAGAGTCAAAACTGTTACAATTCATGCTGTAAGAAATCACTAAGTGAATATA